AAATAATAGACAATTAACAGGATCGATTGATGTATAACACTTATATGTACGATCAAAATCAACAGAGTATTTTAAGTCTATTTTTCTGCTATGTGAAAAAAAAAACGGCAAAACGCGCCGGCGCGTTTCTGGTCCCCAGAGGGTTAAGCATCAAGGTGGTAAAATATAAACGCTGTAGGACAACATCGGTTAACAACATGTAGGCCTATGCTACTTTAAGATTCGATCTCGGGTCGATTGAAGTTCCTCGAAGCTCGTGTTGTTGCGTTGATTACTGAGCTACCGTCTGTACGCTGTTAAAGTTGTAAAGCCTCATTGATGTAGCCTAAATGTTTTTATTGCAATGTTTTATGTTGAAATGTTTTCATTATTTATTCAATTACATTTCAGTAGCCTAATTTCAGTATTGTGATTATGAATTATTTTAGCTACGTTTCACTTGTTGAATTCATCTGCTACCAGCTTTCAATCGCTCTGAATGAGCCGCGGTGTGGCAGCAGATTACGCATTATATAAATTACTTCATTTAAAAGAAGAGAATTCAAGCTTCATAAAGAAAAATCTCTCGTGCCTGTGTGACAAGTAATCGCGGAGTTACAGTTAATCTTAGGACGCGTTTCAGAATGGACTTCACTGACAGAGAGAACGCAGAACTCGCATCATGTTTGTTTTTCTTTATTTGGTGAAAAGCACAACACTTTGTTTTTATTGTGAGTATCCACAAAAAAATAGAAACTTAACAGGATCTAATGATGTATAACACTTAAATGTAAGATCAAAATCAACCGAGTATTTTGAGTCTCTTTTGCACTGATAAGAAAAAAAGCGAGCAGATCACGCCGGCGTGATTGCCGACCTCAGAGGGTTAAAATATGCGTGTATGTGTGTCTCAACTTTAAAACTTTGGACCGTACATTGCCTAACATTTCTTATGAAACTTTTCTTTATGAAAATTTAAACATAACATGAAACAATTTGTACAGTGTAACTGATGAAAGATAAATATCTTTCCTTCATGTTCTTCTTCTCTATCTTTTTTATTTATTTATTTTAGTTTTCAGCTCATTGTTTTTTTCTCATTTGTATTCTGATGACATTGAACATATTGTTAATACATTTTGTATATTGTATACAAGGTGTATGTCATACAAATTTTATCTCTGTATGTTTAGCTAAAATAAATAAATACATAAAGTAGAATTTTAAGCTGTAAGCACCAGCACGTCCCAGCCGGGTTCGTCACTTATTTGGTTCCCCTGGAAACATTTCCGTTGTGGTCTGTGTTATTTGCAGCGGGTTTCTGTATTTGTGTTGTGAGCTTTTGCAGCGCGTTTCTGTATTTGGGTTGTGAGTATTTGGAGCTCACGTGTGTTGTGAAACTGATGAAGATGTTTTCTTAATTTGCGGGTGGTTTTTCTATTTGCATGCGTCTTTTTTTATTTGCATGCGTTTTTTTATTTATTTGCATGCGTTTTCTTCTGTTTGCATGTGTTTTCTTCAGTTTCAGCGCATTGAGCTTTCTCGGCCACCGTAGAATCAGCCAATAGTGAGCCTGCAAGCGTGAGGTCACTGCAGCATGGCACCAATCATTTAATGTAATTATAATAAAATAGTTTAATTAAGACACTGAATTAAAATTTATTTTTAAAAAAATTGCTTTGCATTGTACAAAATTATCACAAATTAGTATTTATGCAGTGGAATCTTTTTCTATTGATAGATGTCTCCTCATTTACAGTTGGAGTAATCATGCAAACATGAGTTCCTTCAATTGATCCAACAACTCAGGGAAGCTTGCAATCCTCATAAAACCTAGTGGCTTGATTTTGCTGCAAGATTTGAAGATCAGTTGTAAAGTCAATGAACTGCCATTCAGTAGTGACTAAAAGCAGTGCTTTAAGTGGGCCGGTACGCGCCGGTACTCAGTACCGCCACTTCCAAATATGGCTCTTGAGCGTACCGCCACCTCTCCGTGCGCCCAGAACGTGCTTTTAGCGTACCGGTACGCTCGCACATCTGTTTTAATCCTTTGGCTGCGCTGACGCTTTTCAGAGCGCCCTTCACATGCACGCTTCCTAATTCGTCCCACCGAGAGCAGAGACTACATTACCCATGCACAGGGGTTAAAGTGGGCCGGAACGGTCCGGAACTGCGTTCAGGCACCTCAGATAAATTAATAAATAAATAAATTCGTTAATCTCAACGAATCTCGCTGGTCCCGAGACCTCCCTTTCTCCCCGCTGAACGCGAGCTATTACAAATGCGTGAAATGCATCAGTGGTTGAGCGCGGTAAAGTTAGTTTTAGGTTCGAGATTTTGCCGGACATTGTTTTCCCTTGTCACTGTTCGGCAGGGGTCGGCAGTCTTAGATCAATAGTAGGATTAGTTTTAACATTATGTAACCATTATGCCCCCGAATCCCCCCCAACTGCCTACCATTTAAATTCACATGACTGTGGGGGGTAATGTGGGCTGATGTGGCTACAGTGCCAGGGCTCAATTTTTTTCCCAGTGGTCGTCTGTTGAATGCTGTATATTGACCCCTTTAATATAGTTGTTGTTACCTCAGAGGAGGAGGGGAGCAGAACAAAATTTTTTTTTTTTTTTTTTTTTTAAATAATAATAGAGTACCGGCACCTCTTTTGGGCCACTTAAAGCACTGACTAAAAGTGAGGCAAAGGAAAATTGACAGATTCACAAATAGTATTCAAAATGTGTTCAAGATTTTGTAAGCGTAATGTGTAGTTCTGCTTGGAGTCAATTGTTTATTTGTGATAACACAATGAAACATGCCAAATTGTACAGACATACATTTTTTAGCCAGGCTATCATACAAAGAAATTTTGAACACATGAAAAAACAAGATAGGACAATGAAATATGAATAACTGACAATGTAGCAGACAATGTATGATTTTTTTCGTTTTTCTAAAACCTGTAGCTGTAGTTTGCCGCTTTTTTTTTTGTCACTTAACATTCAAAAATATTATTGATCTGCCTGCATTGACACTATTATTTGAGAACTGAACTGAGCTGGACGATGACATAACTGATTTCTCCAGAGCGAATAAATAGAAATAAATAAATAGATAACTAATAATTTTTACAATGGAAATGAATCAACAGTGAACTTACTTAAGCTGGACAATGACACTATTTTCTTCTAGTGCCAAAACTCTAGTTTTGTTCTATAGTCAAAACTAAACTTGTTGCATCCTTTTCCTGTAATCAATGTAAATCTGCTTTGAAACAATCTGTATTGAAATAATTTTGTCAGATAAATACCTTCGCTAAGTTTAGTTTTTTGTTCTTCCCTCATATTTTAAAATATTTAAAAAATAGATAAATATATACATATTTTCCTCATAATTTGATGGTTCAAGCTAACTTGTAGGGTCATAAAAATAAACTCTTCACATCAGTTTTGGCCACTACTGTATGTTTGATGTGGTCAGTGTCACTATAGTGCTATTTCAGACCCTGCTTACTGTGGACTGATGAGCTCAAGTCATCAATGGTGCAATGCTGCATTTTTCCAGTCGACACAAATTTAATTATTACTTTCATTTAATTTCCTTGCTCTAAAATTTCTTACAAAAAGAATACCTTGATGATCAACTCTCCGTCATCATTTAACTCCAATACAACATATTATTAGGATACCTCTCAAGCACTCTTAAATAATTTAGGAGACCTAGTCTTGACACTTGGGAACCTATATGAATCACACTTATTCTTACAAATTTTACTTGGAGTGGCTTTATACATACGGCCCCAGATTTTTTACAAATGGTACAGCTCAGATGAATACACACAATCAAAATTAATCTCACGCAATTTATAATATATCGCAACGTGTTAACTGTTGATTTTTCCATATTTTTTTTTTTTTTTTTTTTAAAGTAGTATAAAGTAGTTTATTGTATAATAGTAAAAGACTAAAATGGTTTTGTTATGGATATTTAAAAAATGAATGCATCAAAAAAAAAAAAAAAGAAAGACAAAGTCTCTGTGTACCCAAAACTTGACTGTTTTGCCTTCTAGACAAAAGCTCAAATATTAGATGTGGCAATTGGGAAATATGTGCTTAAAGTTGTAGAATTAAACTGAATAGCTCTGGCGTATTTGTATTATATTAATGCTCATTGAAATGCCATGCCATGATTTTTTGTTGTGATTTTAGCGTGATCACTGATAAGTACTTTTATTTTGGTCTAAATATGTCACGTCATAAGGCCGCGCGTGCCGCGACGCGGTCCTGCTGCATCTTTGACTTGCCTGTTCAAAGGTTTGTTTTTTTAAGCATTTAAAGTGTTTTAGTCAATGCAAAGTGCAAACCGTTAATGACATTGTATAGCTTTTAAAATAAATCAGTTTTCATTGTTATTGAGTGACATTGTAATTCTTTAGCTAGTATTATTGAATTTTTCGGGAGTAAACTGAATCTGCACTACAACATAAATGGTGCGTTTCATTTCGCTCCTATAGAGTCAATTTGTAAACACGAATTCACCTACTGACAAGTAACGTTAGTGATGGAGAAACTGAGCTTTTCGAAACTCAGAGTTAACTGAATTGACTTCCAAACATTAATATGGTGCAAGTTTAATTTTGTCGCCTTATCGCTTATTTTTTAATAAGTAATCATTATAACATTGACTGTTATTGCTCGTGTAAATAACTGTAATGTTTATGACTTTGGATTAAAGTGCGCGAATCACCGCACGCTGGCGACGCGTGCTGGTCACAGCTGTAAATGAAACGAGAGAAAAAAATGCATTTAAAAATAATAATAATAATTGCAGTATATCATCTTCAAATTATTAAAGACCAAACGTAAATCATAATAAAATATTTAGTATTTGGGAAACGCTGCTCAGGTCATTTGTGCTCTTGACTAAGGAGCTGTTTGAGACACACCCAGAGTTTTATTTTGTATTTATTTTCCTTTTGTTAATTACTCTCATCCTAAACATGACAGGGTGTCCAAACACTGAAAAACTCCTGGTGAAGCAACCAAGATCCACCTGACATTACAATAAAGATGGCGTCTATTAAAGAGGAGAGTGAAGACATCAAGATTGAAGTATTCAGAGTAAAACCAGAAGATACTGAGGAGAAAACAGGTTTGTTTCATTCTCAAAATCTGAACTCAGTCATTTGACCCCGTTTAAAATGTTGGCCTCATCAGAAACAAGTAATATTTTTGAATACGTGTAGATCCCATTTAACTGATTTTAAGTCAGAGATATAAAGGAAAAGAAGTGGTTTCAGTTCCAGCAGAACCAATTAATAAAATTGCAATTTGCGATTTAAAATGTTTTTTTGTTTTTTTTTACAAATGAAATGTGTGTGTGTGTGTATACACATACATGCATATATTACTCACATAAATGTTTGCTCACTCATTGTATTTAGAATGGGGGATTTTGTTGCTCAAGAGTTTACACAACACAAGGAGGCTTGATTTCAATCTTTGATTTAACACTGGCCTGATTGTGCAAGTTAAATATTTGTCAACTGTCCCGACTCCTGAAACGTTAGTCGCACTTGATGCTTGCTTTGTGCAGATGCAATGTGGTGATGCTAAGCGCATTTTGAGAGAGGGAAAGAGAAAGACGCAGCAATGCTGAATCATTCCTGCTGTTTGATGCATGTTGCTTTTTCAAATGCATGTTATAAGCAACTCAAACTCGCAGTGCTTTCAGAGATGGAGCAGCATTTACTACTTCACAGAACCGCTCTTCGCTAAGGCTGCGTTTACACTTGGCATTAACATGCGAACTCTATCCGGATGTTGTCCACATACACATTGAAAAGACAAGTGTAAACGCGCTTCTGATTGGAATGTTAATCGATCAGTGTGTCCAGGTTCGGAGGTAGTCGTGGACGCATTGTGATCGGATCTCAGTGTAACCTAAACGCAATTCAGCCATCGTGTCTGCATTCACAGGTGGACGTCATACAAAACCCCTTCCACTGTCATTCCACTGTCTTCCCCCTCCTCTCTCCTGAACTGTCGGAAAGATGGAGGAAGCAGTCACCTGTAGCAAACCAATACAGGGCCACAGCAACTCTTTTCTCCACAGGAATTTCTGCACGTAGCTGTGTGGTTTTGCAATACACTTTCGCACCCGAAAGTTGCAGAACCATTCATTTTCTGTAAAGATGAGATTAGTTTTCAGTCGGGGGACATTTTACAGTTTTTTAAAAAAAACCACCACTTCAGGTCAACTTTGCACCGGAGCCATCCTTTTTTTGTTTTCGCGGGAATGCGAGATCCGATCGGTTATCAAGATACAGAAGCCACCTGATGTGGACAGTGGTAAACGCACCGTGTCCTGATTGGGTTATGATCCGATCTGCTTGATCGAATCATGGTGATCGCATGTTAATGCCAAGTGTAAACGCAGCCTAAGACGCTGTCACTCATATTTATTTATTTAATTAAAATGTGCACTCTTTGTGAAGACATTGGAAATTTAATTTTCCAAGAACAGTTTGCTCTCAACAAAATACTGTGGTTCTTAACTGTAGTAAACGACGTAACAGTACATCCACTAAGATCTAGAATCTTAAGTGTGGAAGTTTTTGGTCAAATAATTATTACCTATATATTGTCAGAATTTAATAAATTAACATTTCTAGCCATCCCATCTTTTCTACAGTTTCTTCAGGTTGTATTGAAATTAAATAAATAAAACTGAGTATCGTAGACATAACAGCGAATACTAATGATAATGTATACAAGGAGAAAAGCAGAGGACCTCATACTGAGCCCTGTGGCACTCTGTATTTGTGTTTGATAAGGCATCTCTTCATTTACACAAAGAAAGTGGTAGCTGCCGGTTAGATGGGACATAATCAGTGGTAATAATACTTGTCCACAAATGTTAGATTTGAGATCAGTCTAGAATTAGCAGTGTTGAGCATGTTACTTAAAAAAAGTAGTTAGTTATAGTTACTAGTTACTTCTCACAATAGTAACTGAGTTAGTAACTGAGTTACATCATTATAAAAGTAACTAATTACCAGAGAAAGTAACTATTGCGTTACTTAAAATAAATAAATAAATTCAAATAGGCCTATGTCAAATAATTTGGATGCCCCCAGTATTAAATATGTTAAATTAATGAAATGGACACTTAATAGTGTAGATCAGTGTTCAATGTTTTATAATAATAATTGATTCTATTTTAATGTTGCTGTGGGACAATGTGAGAGACGCCTATTAAATTCAATATATTATTCTAAATATTAGCATTACTATAGTAGAACAATAAAACATTATAGATGGTTTACTTAATATCGCACAGACCCCAACTGGCCAACAAATAAGTTTAAAAACAAATTATGCTTCTGAAGAAATGTACCAAAAATAAATAAATAATAATAAAAAATATACATACTCTTTGTGCATATTAAAATGATAAAACTGTTACACAACTTCACAACTAGTAGACATACTGTAGCCTAAGTATTTTCTTCCTAACAAAAGTAAACAGTTTAACAAGTGCTCTCTCAATATAATACTGAACAATTACCAAAAAAAAAAAAAAAATACTAAAATATAATATTTGGGGGGTTTATTTTTAGAACCTATAGCGAACGTCATCATCAGAGGTTATTTAAGCCAAATTCTAGACATGTTTGCCGCACGTGTTTACAACCGGTCAAACAAAGATGTTTTCTGTGAATGTTCCCTGCAGGTTATTTTCGGGTTTATTTTATAACCTAAACAGAACGTTCCCTCACGGTAATTTTTTAGATTTTATTTGTATAACCATGTAAATTAATTAACGTTGCAGATATGTGTAATTTATTTATAAACAAACTATATAATGCTCGGACACCCTCGGTCTCTCTTGCGCAACTATTGAGCGCGCTCTCGGACACATTCGGTCTCTCTCGCGCATTGAGCGCGCTCGCGCCGTTCGCTTCGCTTTTGTCCACTCCGGCGCCTCATAAACACACACACACACACACCAGAGAAAAAAAAAACTTTGCAGGTCCTATGGCGGAGAGAGAGCCTACTCGGATGAAAACCGCTTCAGTGAGTTCAATTATAGTAACGCCACATTTTTTTTGTCAGTAACGGTAACTGCGTTGTAACAGGGGAAACAGTAATTCGTTTGATTACTCGTTACTGAAAAAGATAACGCCGTTAGTAACGCCGTTTATTTATAACGCCGTTAATCCCATCACTGATAATTAGCCAGTTCTGCAAGGTCAAACTGTGTTTTTTATTTGTCTTTTTTTTATATAAATGTTTAAAAAAAAAAAAAATATATATATATATATATATATATATTGAAGAGGTTTGGAGTTTGCAGGAAATCTTTTGCTTTGTGCCATTAAACTGGGGTTAACTTGTATTTGTATTTTTCCCCCTTCATTTTAGACCTAATGTCGCTGAAAGAGGAGAGTCAAGAACTGAATATAATGAAAGCAAAAGATCAGAATGAGAAACATCATGGTTTGATAACTGGAGAAAAATATTTTAGTTGCTCACAGACTGAAAATATTTGCTCACAAAAAAGAGCTCAGAAGATGGCAACTAAAAGTAATTTCACCTGCCAACAGTGTGGAAAGAGTTTCAATCAGCATAGAGACCTTAAAGTCCACATGAGACTTCACACTGGAGAGAAGCCATACAGCTGCCAACATTGTGGAAAAGGTTTCACTCAAAAAGGAAGTCTTAAAGTCCATATGAGAATACACACTGGAGAGAAGCCTTTTGCCTGCCACTGGTGCGGAAAGAGTTTTACACATAAAGGAACCCTTAATGCCCACATGAGAACTCACCCTGGAGAAAACCCTTTCGCCTGCAAACTGTGTGGAAAGAGCTTCTCACGAAAAGAAGGTCTTAAGACTCACATGAGAATTCACACTGGAGAGAGGCCGTTTGTATGTGGTCATTGTGCAAAGAATTTCAGATGTAAAATAAGCCTTAATTACCACATGAGGATTCACTCAAGAGCGAACAGTAATCAAGAGATATGTCGTCAGTGTGGAATGAGTTTCACAGACCGGAATCACCTTAAGAATCACGTAATAACTCATATCGGAGAGCATCCTTTCATGTGCCATCACTGTGGAAAGACTTGCAAAAGCAAAGCTAGCCTTGAGGTTCACGTAAGAGTTCACACTGGAGAGAAGCCTTTCACCTGCCCTCAGTGTGGAAAGAGTTTCACAGTTAAAGGAAACCTTCAGACTCACATAAGAATTCACACTGGAGAGAAGCCTTACACTTGTCCTCAGTGTGGAAAGTGTTTCACATATCAGAAAGACTTGAAACGTCATTTGCAAAGTCATTCTGAAAAGAAATTGCACAATTGTGAGTCTGACAAGAGGCTAACAAAAAGCAATTTTGAAAATCAAATGCACATTCACTCTGGAAGGCAATTTAATTGTGTTCTGTGTAATAAAAAATGTCTTTTGCCATCTCACTTACAGATACACATGAAAAGGCATGCATTTTTGAGACCCTATTTTTGTTCTTTGTGTGGAAAGGGTTTTAAATGGCTCAGAAGTTTAAAATGGCACCAGAAAATATGCATCTGTGTGAAATTATTTACGATTGTATAGAGGCGTCACTTACAATTTTGTTTCGACTTTATATCTCAGAATCAAATTTTTTGATAAACTAGCTTTCATCTTGCTGTGAAATACAACATTGTAAGTAAAATTTGAAATAAAAGGACAAACTGAAATAATGAACATTGCACTGCATTATTTGAGTCATCTTTAATGACAGAATGCACAAACATAACATGTTTGTTATTTTGAAGCCGTATGTTAGAATTACCTTTAGTTTTATGGGAACAGATTATGAAAAGCTTAAAGTTGGTACTGTAAATATGTTTAGTTATTTTTTATAATGAAAGAGTGCATAATCCTTAGCCCGGGAAAACCCAGACAACTTCCGGTAAATTTAGATTTGCTCTGAAAGTTAGTCTGGCAAAGAGCTCATTCAAGCCCATTTCCAATCCGTCGAAATCGCGGCACCAATCAGAAACGTTGGGGCGGGCTTTACACGATGACGACAGCACAGCGACGGTGAAGCAGATTTTGTACATTTACAAAGATGGATGCCGCCAAGGAACTAGGGATGTGACGGTTGTAGCTGAACACCGTCATTAGAACTCTATAACCGCCAAAACCATGTTATTAAAAAAAATATTTCACAAACATTTTTTATCATAGAGAATGTTTAAATACTAATATCAGGTTACGAGGGAAACGGAGGCGGAGTTAGTGGTGCTTCGGAGGCTGCTACTGCTGGAGATGATTCGGGAGAGGTCTGTGCACCCCTCTCCCAAGAAGAGAAATCTTGGAGATCTCCTTAATAAACGTAGGTCTGAAATCTCTGCCCCTTTACCGATCAGAGCGTGCGCTGACACGGAGTAAAGCCTTGTTTATACTCGAAGCATCCGCACGAGCGCGAAGGTGCGCGCGGCAAAAATGACGCGTTCGGTGCGCAAGACCGGCAAGACCCCATTTCGCTTGGCTGTGTGCACAGCTTTTTTTGTAACCGCGCGCGCGGCACCGCGTCCGAGGATGACCGACTTCAAGCCGAATCTGCCCGAGCATGTACGTGTTACCGAACCGGCACCCGGTTTGCACGTCTAAATTGCAAAGTTCATTGCAAAGTTTTTTTTGTTAAGGTTTTGTTTACTGTGTGTGATTTATTTAATGGAAAGCACATTCACTTCTAGTTGTCTTGCTGTTAATTTTAAATAAACATAGAGCAAGTAGCTAATCAGTGTCTGCTCGTTTATTCAAACTAAGGTGTTCTATAACAGACGAACGTCGCTCTGCATACGTCATCTCCTTCATCGCTCTGATTGGTTGAGCTACGTACGTTGGTGACGCCCCTTTGGAAATGATTTGTCTATGAAGCTTTGCCAGACCATTACTCAGAAAATAAGGAAACACACAGATAGCTTTTAAAGGATTATTGGGAACACCATACTAATACTGTGTTTGACCCCCTTTCGCCTTCAGAAGGTGCAATGTGTAACATTTTTGAGTATCTATTAACAGAAATGCAATATGACATCCATAACTATGTGTTCAGTGGTGTATAAAGAACTTACTTAATAAACCGTAATTTTTTATTACCTTAGAATGAGGCATTTATATCTACATAGGCGCGGGAATCCCCTTCTATGAAGGTCGCCATATTGTGACGTCATGTTTCTACCGTAGCCGACAGCGAACAAACAGCGTTACAGAGCGCGTTTCGTCACTACATTGAAAGAGAAGCCGCAGGAAGCTAGAAGAAGCTAGTCATAAACACCGTGAGTAGTGACTTTTCCCTTGTCAGTGGTGTAAATATGTAGTTGGATTGTTTCATGTAACTTAGTTCTCCCTCGCTGTGTTATGGCTTTGCTATGTGGGGATAAAGTGCTGGTTAAGTTCGTGAGACAACTGATTAGTAGGCTACTCTTGTCATTGACCGTAAAACAGTTACAGGAATCACCAACCCGTCGATCTTGGAAGCATTTTAAGTCGATCGCTTAGAGTTTCCAAAATCAGAGAAAAAAAGCCTATTGTGTGTAGTAAGTGGTGTCTAGGGGATGCGGAGGCGCGCGCGCTGTCACAATCACGTTATTTTTGCCGCACGCACCTTTGGGCTCATGCGGACGCGTCCAGTTTAAACAAGGCTTAACGCTTTAACCAGCTCAGCCACAGTAACAGCTCATATTAGCCAGCTAAACTTTTACTACCCTGTTAGAAAAAATATATAGTTGCATAGTTTCATGTGGTTCTTCTCCCTCGCTGTATTATGGGTTTGCTTTGTGGGGAGAGTGTGCTGGTTACGTTCGTGAGACAATCAGCTGATTACTATTATTATATTAGGTAAGGTGCATTGTGTAATATTTCTGAGGATCTATTGACAGAGATGCAATATAAAATCCATAACTATGTTTTCAGTGGTGTATAAAGACCTTACTTAATGAACCGTTATGTTTTTATTACCTTAAAATGAGACATTTATATCTACATAGGCGCGGGAATCCCCTTCTATGAAGGTCTGAAGGTATGTTTCTACCGTAGCCGAAAGCGAACAAACAGCGCTAAAGAAACCTCATTGCTTGACTTACTAGTCTCTGCTGCTGACTCAGACGACGACATATTTTGTCTTACGTCGGCCACCGTAGCTTCTCATTCGAGTTTGAAAACCGAGGGATAGGCCGCGAGTGACTTGCTGTTTGCAATTTGCAAGTTTCACCACTAGATGCCGCTAAAAATCCCACACTGCAACTTTAATTCTACGTGGCATTGATTCAACAAGGTGCTGAAAGCATTCTTTAGAAATGTTGTCCCATATAGATAGGATAGCATCTTGCAGTTGATGGAGATTTGTGGGATACACAGTCGGTAACCAAGGGACTGGTTTGGCGCAGGTCTCTGTGGCGCAATCGGTCAGTGCGTTCGGCTGTTAACCGAAAGGTTGGTGGTTCGAGCCCAACCAGGGACGAAGGGAGTTTATAGGTGGCGTGCTGCCATGCAAACGCGGCTGCAGAATTTAGCACACCGAAGCATGACACAACGTTTCTTGGCCCCTTTTAGCGTATGCAGCTTGCTCAGTTGTCTCGTGTGCAAAGAAGACAGCAGGTGTTATGTGAGAGTTTACATCAGCTCAAGTTTGCTGTGGCGCGTGCATGGAATGTTCATGTTTTGTTCCGGGTGGTGGAGGCCTGTGTTCCAGAGAGGTCCTGCTCAAAACTCCTTTTAAAACACCATCGTGCATCTGCAATAGCTTCCGACTTTGATCGAATGTGGATTTTGTTTTGGGATACCAGGTGCTGTAAGCTTTTTAGTTTACTTCACTAATGTTTTAACCTTTCAAATATCCCGATTTTGGCAGCAGATTTCGCTTACGGCCATACCACCTTGAGCACGCCCGATCTCGTCTGATCTCGGAAGCTAAGCAGGGTCGGGCCTGGTTAGTATTTGGATGGGAGACTTCCTGGGAATACCAGGTGCTGTAAGGTTTTTAGTTTACTTCACTAATGTTTTAACCTTTCAAATATCCCGATTTTGGCAGCACATTTCGCTTACGGCCATACCACCTTGAGCACGCCCGATTTTGGTACAGTCCAGGATGTGATTCAAGGTAGTAGGAAGAGAGAGGCTCTTCAAGCATTATTTTGTTTTATTTATTTTGATTTAACTGGAAAAGTGGTTGGGCAACAGTGGTTTCAAGAGGGAAGCAGCAAAGGAACATCAGTAATTTAGAAAGGACAACGGATCTGCAAGCAACTAAAGGTACAGAAAGTGCAAAAGGAACGGAGGAAAGCAGATTGAGGATTTCACAAAGACAAGAAATGGTTAACAGACTTAAAAAACAACTAAGATATCAATGACAATATAAGAAAGAAGCGACATTGACCCTGATTTTGGAAGACATTGAAAATACAACAATAGCGATGATAATCAAGGCAGTGGAAAATGAAGCTGGAATTGGCAAACTCATTGGGTTAAGGAGAAAATTTAACAATGAATATGAAATGACCATGGAAGATGAGAGAGACTGTGAAGGATTGCTGGATAGGATGATGATTAATGGACACAAATGCGAAGTGAGGAAGCTGTGTGCGATGGAACGAATGGTGTCTTTTTTGAATATATATTGAAGATGAAGACATCGTTAATAAGCTGATCATGTGGGGTGTTACTCCCATCCTTCCTATAAGAAGAAGGTACTATCCAGGGACTACGGTAGCAGATGGAACACGTTTTTTAAAAGTTAAGTTTCCGAAGGAGGTGACATCTACACCGTACAACACCAAATTCATGACTGAGGAAGGAGCACAGTTTTTTAGAGTAATACATGACCATCAAGAAAAGACGTGCAGGATTTGTGCAAGCACGGAACACCAGAAGAAGGATTGCACTTTATACACGTGCAGAGATTGTCTTGAGCAGGGGCATTATGCGCGGGACTGTAAAGCACCGCGGTGCCAAGGCTGCAGAAAGGCAATAAAGAGATGCACATGTGAGAAGGATGGAGAAAGAAGTGAAGAAGAAGGAATGGAGATACAGGAGGAGAGAGGAGACGCTGCAAGTGAAGGAGGTAATGAAGTGTCGGAGCAGGATGAAAGAGTTTAAGTTGAACAAAATGAAGATGAAGATGAAAGTCATGATGAAGAGACAGACGCAGAGGACGAAAACCTAACCAAGAAGGATTTACTTGAAAATCGAGAGCATGCGGAGGGCAATGAACAACATGATAAAAAAGGACAAAGTGAAGAAAGACCAGAAGACAAAGAAACCAAGATATCGAGTGAGGTAAGAGAAGGGGAAATGGTTGAAAGGAGCAATGGAGTTAAAAGTGAAGGGAAAGTAAACTGGAGCAGAGGTACAAAATCAAGACTAAAAGATGCAAGTATAAACATTGAACAGGTACTGAAAAAAACAAAAGATAAGAAGAGAAGAGAAAAATTAAAGGGAAAGATGGAGAAGAAGAAAGAGAAGAAGAGAAGTTAACAATTGATTGATGGCTGGGTTTTTGTATTTTCTTGTTTATTTTTTATTTTAATTTTTTTTTGCGAATGAGTTCATAATGTTTTGCATCATTGAATGCAAGGGGTTTAACAAAAATTCAGAAAATGGAGAATTTAATGGTTTTGACCAAAAAGTGTGATGTATTATGCTTACAAGAGACTTATTGGGATGATAAAATAGGTAATGAAATGAGGAAATT